AGTCATGCTTCCTCGCTGGCCGGCCTTGCACAAGGCACCAAAGGTCACCTCTGCAGGCTTCAGATCCTGCCCATGAACAGTCAAAAAGAAGGTGCTAGAAGGAGCTAGAGGATGCAAGTGTGGTCAAGGGGCACAGAGGAGGGTTGGGTTACACCGGGGGAGGAGAGGCAGCCTTTGCATTCTCTAGAAGCAGGGCAGGAGACTGGAGCTCAAGTCCCTGGTGGACATGGGGGAACCTGGGGGGACAGGAGAGTGGCTGTGATAGGCCAACCCAGTGCCTCTTACCTTCAGGAGGGCGCCTGAACCGCGAAGTCTGCCTCTTTGCTCAGAGATCGTTCCCTCCATCAGGAAAACCTCCTTGAGGTGAGTTATGGCTTCTGGAGGCACATGGATGGGCTGAGGTCACCAGGCCTTCCTGTCCACCTTACCTGCCCTGAAGTGCATGGCCTTTCTTAGGGACAGGGCCACTCTAGTTAATCTTAGAGCCCTGGCCAGGAGCCCAGGATGGGGCAGTGTGGGGCATGACACTTACTAGATGGACAGGCCAGGGAAGCAACTAGGACCCTCCCCTCCAATTCAAACCATGCGTGTGATTTATGTGCATGTATGTGTGTATGTATGTGAAGCCAGATGTGTGCATGCGTGCTATGCATGGACATGCTAATGTACATGTGTGAATCTGTGTGTGCACGCACAAGTGTGCATGTGTTATGGTGTATGTGCATGCATGTGGACATGTGTATGTACACGTGAATCTGTGCACACACAAGTATGCATGTATGGTGTGCATGCATGTGGACATGTGTGAGTTGCCCTAGCACACGTTTGCGCATATGCTTCTGTGCACACAGGCTATGCTGCTCTCTCTCCTGGTTCTCTTTCGGGACTGGCCGAGTGAACCGGGGCGAGCTCTTCTCTCCCTCTGACGGCCCCTCCCCAGGAGAGGGGAGCAGGGACCATGGTTCCTTCAGCCACCAGACCCTAAGGCTCAGGGCACAGGGTCAGAAAGCTTCTAAGGATCCATGAAAATATTGACACTGGGGAAATTAACTCTTATCCGCCCAACATGTGAAAACTGCTTCTGAGCTTCCGGGAGCTCTCCCCGGGTTTTTGGTTTGGGGATTTCCTGGGAAGGGTGTGTTTCCAATCAAGACTCTTGCCCAGCCTAGTTCCCTTCTGCTCACCCGGAGCTCCCCACCCAGCCAGGAGAGGCCACTGGGTAGGGAAGATGATCCAGCCCAGCACAGACTCCCGAGGGAGGGCCCCAGCCCAGCGAAAGGGGCATGGAAACCGTGTCAGTCTCCCTCAGCAGGGCTGCCCTGGGTTCACATGTCCCCTTAGGGATCTCGGGTTCCCAACCCTCTAGTCAGTTCTGAGCTGAGTTTTCCTGGAGCTTTATATTCAACACCGACTTTGCTCCCCCTCACCTCTACCCCCCACCCTAGAAACAGAAACCCGAGGTCAGGAAGCGCTCAGGGTCCTAGGGCTTGGTGTCGGGGAAGACACCTGTGCTGACTCGCACCCTCTAGACCTCGAGCCCAAAAGTCACTTCTCTGTGGCCTGCGCCAAGCGCCTCCAGCCACGTCCCCTTCCCTGTGATGACCGAGTGACACCCATCGGCTCCCAGCCACCACAGGGCCTCAGGCAGTCGCAGTGGCCTCGGCTCTGGCTTTGCTGAGCCAGTGACGGCAATGGCACCTCCCGGATGTGAAATGTGCCAACACCCGGGCCTCGGTGACCATGTAGCCTGGTGTGAAATTTGTTTCAATTCTCCATGACCACATAGGTCTTGGTTTTTCACAAGTAAAGCAGAGACGGTGTTGTGCTCAAGCTCTCTGGGCGGCACCCACAGCTTCCTCAGTGGGGTCACAGCGACGGGTGGACAACTGGCCCACAGGCAAACGGCACGTCCCCCACAGCAAGCATCTCTGAGCTGCACTGACTAGTTCAGGCCCACGCTTCTGAGCCAGCCCCTCTGCTTCATGAGAAGGTCTGAATTCAAGAAAGGAACCCCCAGCAATTAGCAACGTCCACAGAATCAAACAAGCATGGTTTCAGTTGTCCTCCTGGGCAGCTTTGCCAGTCAGGTATGAGGTAAAGCCAGAGGGACCCTGCCTCACCCAAGCGCCCCAAGAGGGGTCCAAGGACCACTGACTGTCCCCACTTCCCTGGAACTGAGGATGAGGCTGATTCATGTGTTTCCTGTGACAGCCACGACATCATCACATCCGCTCGGAGAACTATTTTTAACTGATTTATGTATTTCTTGCATGAGGAAGACCATCAACTTCTCCTTTAGTCTGTTTTACAGGAAAGTGTTGCAACCGTGCTCAGCTCAGCAACATTAATCGCCACAGAGCATCCTCCAGAGTCTCGCAAAAATTAATAAAGTTGGAAATATGAGTCAGGTTCGGATGCCACTCATTTTGAAAAAGAAGAAACTCACAATAGTTACCTCCTTCTGTAGAATCAACAAGCCCGGTTTGCGAAAGGGCACACTAGGTCTTTAAATTTCCGTGGCAGTGCCCACAGAGGAAGGCGTTCAGACCTCTGCTGCTCCTGCAGCTCTGGGGCACTGACCACATAGAGCTGGTTTCTGCCCTGGCAACGCCTGCCCGACAGCGAGTCACCGCGGGCGTGGGCGGGGCTGCCAGGTGGCGAGGGGGCCGAGGGCCACCTGCCTGCCAGGGCCAGTGTGCCTGTCCTTAAGGCTAGGGGCTCCTGAGGACACACACACTTTCCTCCTCTTTCAGACAAGGACCTGGGAAAGACTTGTAGAAAGTTTGGTGTGTGCTCTGGGTTGTGGGGGCCCGGCGGGAGGCTGGGCATCAGGATCCCATCCCAGGATACATTCGTTCAGTGGCACTCACACCCCACACCTGCTCCCAGCATCCCAGGACACATTCATTCCGCAGCACTCACACCCCAGCACCTGCTCCCTGCTGGCACCATGGCACCTTTCGCTTTTTCTAGCATCTCCTCCTCACTCACTCGACTCCAACCAACAACCACTTATGTACCAGCTACATGCCAGGTTGCTGAACGGCTCTGAGCAGTTAAAGGGCAGCCAGGAGCAGCTGGGAGAGGAGGGGCTGGAGGAGGAAGAGGGGTCCAGGACCCAGGGGCTCACTGGACGTCCCGAAGTCTTTGTGCAGACCTAGGGTTGGGGCTGCAGCAGTGGGGTCAGGGGGCAGCCAGAGTTCCTGGTAGACCTGGGAGGGGCCTGATCAGGAGAAGGAGGGGCCACAGAGCCAGGGTCAGGCCAGACTGTGAGGGGCCTCTTGTTGGGACAGTGTCCCCTCAGAGCGAGAGCCCGGGGCTTGTGGCCGCCTCACTGTGACCTCTGGCCGTGCAGCCTCTGGGGAAGGTGGAGATGTTTTCCCTTTTTCAGAGCAGGAAGGTGTTACCTGCCCATGGAGTGGGAAGTGGGGTGCTCTCACCTGCACTGCCCAGGTGAGGAAGCTGAAAGCCCAAGCCGCCTGTCTGTCCTGAGGCCACCAGATGGAGTGGCAGGCGGGGCTACTGAGCGCCCTTGGTCTCTCTCTGGCTGAGTCACCCGGAGGCTTTGGGAAACAGATTTTCTTCCCCCTCCAGCCGTACCGCCACCCTCCTCTCTTCTAGAAGAGGCAAGAAGCAGCGGCGGGTGGGGGGTGGGTAGAATTGCTTGGAGGTAGGGGTCCCCCCAGGCCTGAGTCAGGGCTCTGTGAGACCCCCTGGTTCTTCACTCACTGTGGGCTGAGACACCAGCTGAATCGTCCACAGGAAGATGCTCTCTCACTCTGCACAACCACTCTTTCGAAGAGGAAACCGAGGCTCCGAGAGGATCCCCAAAGCATCGCCAGCCACCGTGGGCAGGGCATGGACTCCAGCCCAGGAAGCCTGGCTCCAGAATCATGCTCCAGGCCCCTAAGCTGTAATTTGTGTCCTCCAGGGCTCACAATATCTAAGATTTAATGTGGAAAAATGGTTCTATTCTGTCTCACCCCATGACCCAAAATGAACTTACATTAAAGGCAAAAAAAAAAAAAAAAGAATAATTATAAAGCTTTGGAAGAAAATACAAGAGCATTTTGGTATAAAAATGCAAAATCCAAAACCTTAAAGGAAACCATTTGACTACTTAAAATTTAAAAACTTAAATGTGATGAAAAGAACAATCTTTAAAAGGTAAAATAATAAGCAGCAGACTGGGAACGAATATCTGCAATGTAAACACAACATCCATCATATATAAAGAACTCCCACAAATAACAAGAAAAAAGCAAACGAGATAGAAAAGTGGTAAAGAGTGAAAACAGAAAACATAGTCAACTAAACTGATGAATATCACAAAATATCCAACCTCCCTATTAATCATAGAAATAAGAAATTGAAAAATATTTTATGACAAAATCTAGTGTTGCTTCAGTGAGGAAGGGATGCATTGACACACGCATGCAGGGGTGCAAATGGGAACAACCTTTTGAAAGGTGATTTGGAGTCTCTATCACAAGTTTAAATGCACCTGCCCTGAGACCCCCATCCCTGGGAAGAGATGTCCATGCAGATGTCTAAGGCACACGTCTGGAAACAGTGAAGACCTGGGAAGAACAATCCTCAAGGGACCCAGCTCCCAAGTGTTCACCTTCCAGGGAAACCAGTCCTCACGGAGAACTCAGAGCCCTGGTGGGGTGGTGGGTGGGGTCTAGGGCCTTTGTCAAGGTTCACCCCAGGCTGGGCTTGGAGGCCAGGGACGCTGCTAGTATCTGGGTGTCTGCCTCAGCCTGCAGATGCCGCACCCAGCTGCCCCGAGGAGCTACCGTCCGCCTGGTGGAGACTCGGGCTGGGCCCAACTCAGAACTAGGGGTGAGGGAGTGAAGCAGGGACGGGGTCCTGCGGAGGGGGTGGGAGGGTCCGGCCCTCCTGCTCTGGGGGACCTCCCCGGGCAGCACGCTCCCTGTGTCCCACCCCAACCTCCTGCTGGTCTTTTCCTGGACCCCCCATCCCCCACTCCCCTCCAGGCTGGGCTTGCCACTGTCTTCCCTCTGACTCAGCCTCCATCCTTCCCGTGTGGGCAGCAGCATCCCTGCCTTCTCGTGTGGAATCCCAGGGAGCCGCACCCGGCCTTCTGGAGAGTTCTGTCTCTGATTTTATACGCCCTATCAGCCTGTTATTCGATCCAGATGCCTGCGAAATTTGCAGGGATCCGTCTGTGATGCGCGGTGGGCAGCCCAGGCAGGGCTCCCGTTTCATGCAGCAGCCAGAGGTCTGAAGAGGGTGTGGCCCCTTCCCTGGGAAACATGGCATTTGTTCCAGGTGCTTTTCCACCCAGAGCCAACACCCTGGCATTTTGCAGCCCCTTGGGGGAGTATGCGTGGGGGGAGTGCTGAGCTGCAGTGGGCGGCAGAGGGCTCAGGCTGGACCATCCCTGCACCTTCCACAGTGAGGCCGTCCCCTCCTGAGCCTCTGGCTCCCGGCCTGTCCTCGCTCCCTCACCCAAGCCCCGTGAGGATTTGGTAGCTCAGGAAGGACCCTCTGCTCACCAGAGGTCGCCGTGACTGTGAGGCCACCCTCCTCCCCTCTTCCCCCCATTCCTTCCTGGACCTTGGGAGACTTCTGGGAGCCAGCGCCCTCCCCCAGCAGAGTCTTCTCCACGGGTCAGCCACGGGGACTTTGAGGATACCAGGTCCTCACCCAGGCGCCCGTCTCAGAGTCAAAGCCGTAACTGCCACAGCGCAGCGGCCTTCAAGATACCCTCCTGTCACCCGCCAAGGGGTGCCCGGACCGAGCACGGGGATTCAATTCCCACCCCACAAGAGGTTCCCAGCACTTCTGCTGACCTGGCTCAGTGAGTCGGGGAAAAGGGGTGCCCAGCCTCCTCTGTGTCTCCAAGTCAGGGACATCCCAAGGCACCTCACTTGGGTATTCTCAGAAAAGCCAGCCCTGAATCTCAGAGCCACCAAAGGAAGGCAGGATTCGAGCCTGGCCTCAAGTATGACTCTGGAATGTAAAGAGGAAAACATGATTTAGGTTAACATGGGACACAACCCATTTCCCACCCAAACCAAGGTCCAGGGGGACCTCTCATCCCCAGCAGGGGGTGTGTCCACAAAGAACAACCACAAACTGGGGTCATTTCCAAAAGAAACACTCCCGGTTTCCTCCAGGGGCGGAGACCGAGGCGTCTAGGGGAGGAGGCTGGGATGGGCCGAGGCCCGAGGTGGGGAGGTCCGAGGCACATCCCAGGTCTGGCAGCGTGGGCCAGGCCCTGCTGGGAGGGGGCTGAGACCCCGGAGCCTAGGCCTGTCCTGAGCCTTTCCTCAGCCGTGAGAGCCTCGGCCCTGTGCTGGCAGCAGCGGTCTTCCCTCCACATAGGCAGCCAGGCTCAAGCTCAGGCCAGCCCCCAGCCACCCCCGGCTCCCAACACGCCCGGCCCTGTGGGAGATGCCAAGCTGGCGTCCCTTTCGAGCCAGGCCTCCTGGTGGTGCGGCCAGCGCTGGCACAGACCTGAATTCCATCAAAGAACAACAAACTGAAAATCCAGCTGAGTTCAAATTTGCCCAAATTACCACTTGAAGCACCTCCCAGGTTCCCTGTCCCAGAGGGTGGTGCCCGCCCTGCCCCAGTGGGATGTGGTCAAGGCAGCAGCTCCTCCAGGCCACGGGGCATAAGCAAATACCTCCTGGCCCACAGGGGCTTGGCCGGAGCCCTTGACTCAGCCCCACCCAGGCCCCCTCCTGCACCTCGACCGACTCCTGGGACTCCATGACGCATAAGCCGGCAAGTTTCCAGGCCGCCGGGACACAGCCTAAGACGGGGCTGGAGTCCCTGTGGTGCCCAACCCAGGAAACCGGCCTCCACCTGGTCAGTCTCGTGCCCATCCCAGGAGACCGGCCTCCACCTGGTCAGTCTCGTGCTCATCCCAGGAAACCGGCCTCCACCTGGTCAGTCTCGTGCCCATCCCAGGAAACCGGCCTCCACCTGGTCAGTCTCGTGCCCATCCCAGGAAACTGGCCTCCACCTGGTCAGTCTCGTGCCCATCCCAGGAGACCGGCCTCCACCTGGTCAGTCTCATGCTCAATCCAGGAAACTGGTCTCCACCTGGTCAGTCCCAGAGACCTTTCTCCTCACACCCAAGGTGGCCAGCGCCCCATTGATTTCAGTCTTTCAGGGTTGACCCTGACCTGACCCGCACCCCACCTCAAGTCTCCACTCCAGTCCCAGAAACCCTCCCCGCTCCAGCCCCTACGCCCAGCCCAGCCCAGTCCAGCCCCACAGGGTCTCCTGACTCACCCAGATCTGCCCCCACAAGAGCCCTCCTCGCTCCTCAGTCGGGGACTCCGTGGCGTGCAGGCCCCATGAGCTCCATGGTCCCAGAAGTGAAGGTGGGGCTGGGAGGAGGAAGCGAAGTGGACGTCGGCTTCCTTGAGGGACTCTGGAGCCACTTCAGTGGACATCTTTGGCCAGCAGCACAACTGAGCCTGTGGCCTGTGCAGCCCCAGCCCCTCCAGCAGGATCACTGGCCCATTGGGGATGACCGAGAGACACTCGCCGTCCTCCAGAGCAGGGGTCCCCAGGCTGTGGCTTGCTGGGAACCGGCCGCACGGCAGGAGGTGAGTGGCGGACGAGCGTGACCGCCTGAGCTCCGCCTCCTGTCAGATCAGCAGTAGCACTAACTTCTCACAGGAGCGGACCCTAATGGGAACGGCGCACGCGCGGGATCCAGGTTGTCCCCTCCTTACGGGAATCGAATGCCTGATGATCTGAGGAGGAAACCATCCCGTCTTCTCCCCAGCACCCACGGAAACATTGTCTTCCACAAAACCTGTCCCCGGTGTCAAAAGGGTTGGGGACCGCTGCGCTGGTGGGATGGTGCCAGGCCCCTCAGCCCCTTCCCGGAGCCTGAGAAAGGGTTCAAGAAACCCAGGGGGCCGGTCGGTTCACCAACCCCCCCACCCTTGGCTCAGCCGAGTCAGGGGCTCCACCCAGCAGGCAGAGATGAAAACTCACGGGGGCGTCTGCGGGAGGAGAATGTCCACTGCCACCTGCCAGGTCACGGGGGACACTGGAGGTCTGCTCTGCCTCCGTTCCCCTGGCCTGGGTGCCTGGGGATTCAGATTCACCCTTGTGTGGAGGTGGGGAGGCGGGACTGGGGAGGACCCCGAGTCTCCCAGGCAGGCAGCCTGGCGCCAGGTGGGGGAACTGTGATCCAGCAAACCTGCTCATTCCTGTGGGCGGCTAACGGCTTTTATTTCAGGACACTCACATGTGTTAAAACAGGAAATAAAGTATGAGAAACGGCACTCCCACACACTCCCTCAGTCCCCCACCCGCACAGCCCCAGGAGGGACCCCTGGGCGCAGCCCACGCCTCCACCTCCCATCCACCCCCCGCATTCCTGGGCTGCTCTTCCTCTGAAGCATTTTAACACACACGCGTGAGTGCACATACACATGCGCGTTTACCAACAGTGCTTGTCCCCTGTAGCGTCTCCTTCCACCTGGGGCAGGTGGCATCGGGGGCAGGTGCCCGCTGACTCAGGACTTGCTGCTCCTGGAACTCTCAACCTGTGGCTGCATGAGTCCCACCCTGAGGGCTGATGATGTGGACACACAGAGTTCTGGGCCTGCCTCAAACCTCAGAGCAGGTCACGCTGAATGTCCAGACACCAAGGAGCTTCAGGCAAGGTCAGGGGCCAGGCATCATGACAGTGTCCCTGGGAAACTGCAGGCACAGCCGGGCATGTGTCTCCCGGGAATCTGCTATGGGGGCCCCAGCACTGTGCTGTGCTCCCAGGGGGACCCCCACCCACCCAGGCCAGGGCCAGGGCCTGGGGTGGCAGCTCCATGCAGTGGTCAATGCTGTGCAGGGTCTGGGGGCTGGCACAGGGGAGGGGCTGGCACAGGGGAGGGCTGGTACAGGGGAGGGCTGGTACAGGAGAGGGCTGGCACAGGGGAGGGCTGGTACAGGGGCGGGGCTGGTACAGGGAAGGGGTTTGGTACAGGGGAGGGTCTTGGTACAGGGGAGGGGTTTGGTACAGGGGAGGGGCTGGTACAGGGGAGGGGCTGGTACAGGGGTGGGGCTGGCACAGGGGAGGGGCTGGCACAGGGGAGGGGCTGGTACAGGGGCGGGGCTGGCACAGGGGAGGGGTTTGGTACAGGGGAGGGGCTGGTACAGGGCGGGGCTGGCACAGGGGAGGGTTTTGGTACAGGGAGGGGCTGGTACAGGAGAGGGGCTGGCACAGGGGAGGGGCTGGTACAGGGGAGGGGCTGGTACAGGGGTGGGGCTGGCACAAGGGGAGGGGCTTGCACAGGGGCGGGGCTGGCACAGGGGCGGGGCTTGTTACAGGGAGGGTCTGGCACAGGGGAGGGGCTGGTACACGAGAGGGGCTTGTACAGGGGAGGGGCTGGTACAGGGGAGGGGCTGGTACAGGGGAGGGGTTTGGTACAGGGAGGGTCTTGGTACAGGGGAGGGGCTGGTACAGGGGAGGGGCTTGGTACAGGGGAGGGTTGGTACAGGGGAGGGGCTGTACAGGGGAGGGGTTTGGTACAGGGAGGGCTGGTACAGGAGAGGGGCTGGTACAGGGGAGGCTGGTAAAGGAGAGGGGCTGGTACAGGGGGGGTGGTACAGGGAAGGGCTGGTACAGGGGAGGGGTGGTACGGGAGGGGCTGTACAGGGAGGGCTGGTACAGGGAGGGGCTGGTCCAGGGGGGTGGCAAATGGTACAGGGGGGGCTGGTACAGGGGAGGGGCTGGTACAGGGAGGGTTTGGTACAGGGAGGGCTTGGTACAGGGGAGGGGTCTTGGTACAGGGGAGGGGTCTTGTACAGGGAGGGGCTGGTACAGGGGCTAGGGCTGGTACAGGGGATGGGGGCGGGTTTTACAGGGGAGGGCTGGTAAGGGAGGCTTGGTAAGGGAGGGTTGGTACAGGGAGGGTCTGGTAACAGGGGAGGGTCTTGGTACAGGGGAGGGGCTGGTACAGGGGAGGGCTGTACAGGGAGGGCTGTACATGGGAGGGCTGTACAAGGGAGGGCTGGTACAGGATGCGAAGGGGAGGGGCTGTACAGGGGAGGGGCTGGTACAGGGGAGGGGGGTGGTACAAGGGGAGGGGCTGGTACAGGGAGGGTTGGTACAGGGAGGGGTTTGGAACAGGGGATGGGCTTGGGTACAGGGAGGGGTTTGGTACAGGGGGGCAGGTTCGGTACAGGGAGGGGCTGAGTACAGGGGAGGGGCTGGTACAGGGAGGAGGGAGGGGCTGTTACAGGGGAGGGCTGGTACCAGGGAGGGTCAGTTCTGAGTGATTCTGACAGGACTTGTGTGTGGAGGGCTTGACCCCCAGGTAGGAACCCCAGGTTACCCACGGTTCCCCACCCTATATGCACACGGGCGGAGGTCGGACGGCTGCCTGCCCAAGGCCCTGCGACTGGCTCGTGGGGTCTGCTCCACTTCTTGAGCCAAGTGCTGAGTATCTGCCCGGTGGGGAGCTTGGTGAGGGAACGTTCTGTCTCTCGTAAATCCGCTCGGGGCTGGGTGTGACTGTTTAGTCGAGGTTGGTCATGAATGTTGGAAGGTTTATGTCACTGTGCCTCCGTGGTAGGTCAAGAATGTTCAGAGGTTATGTCGCATGTGCCTCTGTGGAACTGGCACCGAGCTCGTCTTCCTCCTCTTCATTGAAGAAATGATGCCCCGTTCTGGGTCACGTTCTCAGGGTGAGCGGGGTGCTGCCCCTCTGACCAAAGCCCCCGTAAGCCTGGCACATGTCCCGAGGAGGCTGGTCTCTCCTGGTGCCACAAGGTGCCAAGTGTGGGGGCAACCGGGGTCCCCCTGGCCCTGGGGAGAGAGGGCCTCCTTCCTGGCCTGGGTCCCTTGGGGTAAGGAGAGGAGGTGGCCCCTGCCTCCACCAAGGGCTCCCCATCATACCCCTAACCTGGTCAGAGGGAGGTACTTAGGTTCTCCTTGTCCAGTTCCAGCAATGGGCTGGCGAGCCTGCCCTTTGGTCAGGCCACCTGGAACAACCTTCGATCAGCCACTGATGGCTGTGCTGTGGGATTCAGCTCCTGGCAGGACCCTGGAGGGAAGCCAACTGCCGATCCAGGCCAGGTCCCACCCCGCCCGCCGGACCACACAGGAGCCCCCCTCCTCTCGGAGCCCTCGGGCGGCCCCAGGCTGGCGTCGAGGCATTTATGATGACTGCCCTGACCCATGTCCCTCTGAGGCGTCCCTAAGAGAAAGCTTGACAGAGGCCTTGTCAAGGAGGGCTGGACTCAGCAGCAAAGCCGCTCCCTCCAAACCGGAAACTTACCCTGGAGCCCAAGGGCCTTGAAAACAAACAGGCAAAGTGACTTCAGTTTTTCTTTCCACAAAGAGGCAGTTGTGGCACCAGAAAAGTGAAGACGTCCGTCTCCCAGGAACACGGTTGACTCTGAAGTTTGTTCTATACTAAAGGTGTCACTAAAGCCACCTGGCCATTTTGCAATCCATCCAAAGGATCCCCCAACCCATGGTCACCTTCAGAAGGTCCTCACACCAGGTGCCACTGTGTGGGTCTATGGCCTGCACACCCTCTTCCCCAAGGGCAGAAGCAGAGGCCTCCCAGAGGGCTGTGCCGGAGGCAGCCACGGGTTCCAGAAGCCCTCTCCTGGCCTCGAGGCTGTATCTCGACAACATCGCCGTGGGGGTAGAATCAGACGGGAGAGTCCCTGTCCCTTCGGTGAGTGTCACTCCTCCTCCCTGCAGATAAACAGCTACCTCCAGTGGGGATGCAAAGGGGCCATTCCAGTCAGTGCGTTTGACACAGCTTGGGGTTGTCAGGCAAGAAATGAACACCAAGGTGAAGACCTTTGAGAGGGAGGCCCTGATCCGGAAGCCAGCCAGCCATCGAGGAGGAAACGTGGGGCAGCTGGGCAGAGAGCTCTCCCAGGCAACCTGGCTGAGCGGGAGGGCACTGCAGAGACGGGCGGCCCAGCCAGGGCTCCAGCAGATATGGGAGTGAGCCAGGCCCTGGGCCAGGCAGGTGCAAGTGCATTCCAGGACTGGAGGTTGTGTGTGAACTCTCACCGCACTTCGGATGGACAGATAGAGGTAGGTACAGAGACTGCAGATGGCTGGACACATAGACAGCACAGACGTGTGAGGGGTGTATGTGTGTGTGAAGACTCTGTAGGCTCAAACAACAACTGCTACCCAGTGACTGAGAACACAGGCTTTGAAATCAACAGACCTGAGTTCGTGCGTCAGTCCTACCACGTGACCGTGAACACGTATCAGACAGTTCCTAGATCCCCAACGTGGAGAGGGTCACTGTGAGCCTGATGTGACCCTCTTTGGAAGGGCTGTAGTCACCGTGAGGGGCCAAGGTTTGCTCTCAGGGCTCTGATTCTCATTCAGCTGTGTGCTGGGCACCACTGTAGGGCTTAAGACACTTCCACGAGAAACAGGCTCCTGCCCTGAAGGGCGCCTCCACGCGGGGGGCGATGCCGTCTCTCGTGAAGAAGCCTTTGTCGTGTGGCGTGGGTGACGGGGCTCAGACCAGCACGGGGGGAGCAGCTGAGCCAGGCAGTGGCGCTCAGCAGGGACTGGGGGGCTTGGTGGGAAGGGGACTGGCAGGAGGCCAGGAAAGAACATTCCAGGTTCTCAGCCCTAGTGAGGGTGGAGACCACCGGGAGAGGAGAAGCACGGAGGCCATGTCAGGGGAGGCTGGTGGGAGGGAGGCACAGAGTCCAGAGGGTCCCTTGCGACCAGAAGGGGCACCCCCAAACTCCTGAGATCCCTGTGTCCACCGTCGCAAGGGAAATGGGACTCCAAGCTGGCCTCGGTTTGATTGAAAAAACAAAGCAAATGAAATAAAACAAAACACTGACATGTCTCGCCCACTGGAGACATGGAATGAGACTCACGGTGGGTGGAAGAGTTGCTTTGAGTTGTGCTTTGGGAAGTCAGGAGAGAAAGGAGACAGCCCCACCCTAGAGGCTCATGGAAGGCCAGGTGGACAGAGGGACGAAGGAAGGCA